AGTGGAGGAAGAAGGAAGAGCCTAGAAGGCAGGTTCCGGGCGCCCGTCCGACTTCCTCTTCCAGGGATGGTGGCGTGATGTCCCTTTTACTCTGCCCCCTTTTTTCACTTGGTGAGACCTTACCTCTGTACACGCCTGGCCAGACTGCTTGCAGGGAGGGAGGGAAGGAGCGGTGGGATTCCTTTGTCTGTCTGTGGAGGTAGGATTGATGGGTGTAGTTACTCCTGGTGCGTCCATGGCTTTATCTGGAATGGGAGGCCGTGTGGGTGGAGAGGAATATTCTAGCACTTGGGTTGCGGGAAACGAGTTAAGTCGGCTCGCGTGAATTGCGCGTACTCCGCGGGAGCCGTCTTAAACTCGGTTCATATAGATTTGCGGTGGAGTGCGGGAAACGTGTAAACTCGGGCCGATTGTAACTGCGTATTACCAAATATTTCATTTCAATCGAACCCATACTTCAAAAGATATAGGCATTTTAACGCGCCATCTTATATTTTGGCGGGAAATTCACCCGCAACCCAAGTGCTAGGTATGCATTTCCAGTCCTTCCTCTGTCACTGGGTAGGATTATAAATTTGTGTGTTTGTGCCGGTCCGTCTTGTGTGTCTGTTTGCCTGCATGACAGAGCCTTTATTCTTGTCAGCCAGCCCTTGAGAATGTCTGTGGGTGTTTGGTGACTCTTGCTATATCTGCTGTGTGTGCACCTCTGTGATATGCACACAGATGGCAGTGGAGCTGAGGGGTTAGGGGCACGAGGCTGCTTAGGTTGAGGCTGGGAAGTGCATCTTAGGTGCCATATATTACCTCAGGTAAGTTACTTAACTTTTCTAGGCCTGTTTCCTATAAAATGTAAATTTTGTGGTTTAACATAGTGTATAGTATATATAAACCAGCCCTGTTTAACACAAATATAATGCATGCCACATATGTAATCTTTAATTTTTCTTTTTTAATCCTCACCAAGGATATTTTTTCCATTTATTTTTTTAGAGAGAGTGGAGGGGAAGGAGAAGGCAGGGAGGAGAGAGAGAGAGAAACATCAATGTGAGAGAGACACATCGATTGGTTGCCTCCTGCACATGCTCCAACCAGGGTTCAAGCCTGCAACCAAGGCATGTGCCCCTGACCGGGAATCAAACTCATGACCCTTTGGTCCACGGGCCGATGCTCTAACCACTGAGAACCCGGCCAGGGCTGTAATTTTTATTTTATTATTTATTTATTTATGGGGGGGGGGGCTGTAATTTTTAGTTTTTTGGTAGCTACATTGAGAAAGGTAAAAAGTAACAGGGTGAAATTAATTTTAATATATTCTATTGAACACAAAAGTTTGTAATTGCAAAATGTAATCAATATAAAAGGTTATTAATGGAATATTTTACATTCTGTTTTTCATTCAAAGTTTTTTGAGATCTGATGTGCATTTTACATTTCCGGACGTCTCAGGCTGGACTAGGCACAGTGCACGTGCTCAGTGGCCATATGTGGCTGGTGGCTGCTGGATGGACAGCACAGGTGTAGACCCTCACCAGCTACTAGTGTTAGCTCTCCTTTTATTGTCCTTTTATCATCACACATCTGCTTCTTGCGGAAGCACATGCCTCATATCTCTTGTGCATCTGAAGATATCTGGGCCTTCAGAGAGAGGGGCGGGAGGCCAGTCCCAAGCTCCCCTGCCCCAGCTAGAGGCTTCCTGAATGGGTTTCGATGGGAGCCCTGGCCCCATCTTGTCTCCTGCCTTCTGCACCTCACCCGCCCCGCTCCCCTCTAGGAATCAGGCCCACTGTCCCTCGCCCCAATCCCTGCAGGTGACCAGAATGGACCTGTGGCCAGGGGCATGGACGGTGCTGCTGTCGCTCTTCCTGCTGCTGCTCTTCCTGCTGCCCGCCCTGTGGTTCTGCAGCCCCAGTGCCAAGTACTTCTTCAAGATGGCCTTCTACAACGGCTGGATCCTCTTCCTGGCTGTGCTCGCCATCCCCGTGTGTGCCGTGCGAGGACGCAATGTTGAGAACATGAAGTGAGGGCCAAGGGGTGCTGGGTGCTGAGGGAACCTAAGGGTCGGAGCAGTGTTTGGGGAGGACATGGGTGTGTAGGAGAGACTGAAAGAGTCCAGGGACAGGAAGGGGGAGGATTGCAAAGATGCGGGAAAGAGGGGAGCTGAGGCATGCAGGCTGGCGTCAGTGGATCCCCCTGGAACCGCCTGCCGTGACACCCCATAGGATCTTGCGTCTGATGCTGCTCCACATCAAGTACCTGTACGGGATCCGCGTGGAGGTCCGAGGGGCTCACCACTTCCCTCCCTCCCAGCCCTACGTCGTGGTCTCCAACCACCAGAGCTCCCTCGACCTGCTTGGTGAGACCCTCCTAGAACACACCTCCCCCGGCCATGCCCTTCCTCTTGGAACCTTCCCCAGAATCTTCTCCCGGAGGTGCTCACCTGCCCCTCAGCTGGGACGTGGCTGTCTTTCCCTCATAAGCAGGGTGGTAGGCCTTTAGTCACCCTTCCCTCCACTTGGGTCTTCCCTGGCCCTGCCCCCCAGTCTCCCTCTTCCTTTATATCCAGGCCTTAGTAGCATAGGGATGACCTGGGTGAAGTGGGCCACCTCCGCCCTGATGCTCACCCCACCCTTACCTGCCCCAGGGATGATGGAGGTACTGCCCGGCCGATGTGTGCCCATCGCCAAGCGGGAGCTGCTTTGGGCTGGCTCTGCCGGGCTGGCCTGCTGGCTGGCCGGAGTCATCTTCATCGACCGGAAGCGCACTGGGGATGCCATCAGTGTCATGTCTGAGGTCGCCCAGACCCTGCTCTCCCAGGACGTGAGTCACCCCGGGGACCAGGGGGTGGTGCGTATGGAGTAGAACAGTTGTAAAGAAACGGACAGGCAGGGTCAAGGGGCCACAACCGTTCTGCGACCCCCCACGCATGTGTCTTCTTCGGCAGGTGCGGGTCTGGGTTTTTCCTGAGGGCACAAGAAACCACAATGGCTCCATGCTGCCCTTCAAACGTGGCGCCTTCCACCTGGCAGTGCAGGCCCAGGTGATGCCACCTCCCCTCTGCTGCTGAGCCCAAGCCCCGCCCCCTTCCTCTCTGGTGGAGCAGACCCGGGCCTCAGAAGGGAGTCCAGGGCTGATGGCTTTTCCCTTCCCCAGGTTCCCATTGTCCCCATCGTCATGTCCTCCTATCAAGACTTCTACTGCAAAAAGGAGCGCCGCTTCACTTCGGGTGAGGCTCTGAGCAGCCCTGGGGGTGGGGACCAGAAAGGTCATGGCAGAGGCTAGAGGGACGTCCCCATAGGGCAGGGCAGTGAGTGTCAGAGCTGGGAAATGTCCACAGGGTCACCTGCCAGGAGGTGATGAAGCACCACCATGAGAGGCCGTTACTGTCGGGCAGGAAAGATCAGGCCTGTGTGTGCGGAGCTGGAACCCTCGGCAGGACGTGCTAAACCCACACGGGAGGGGGGGGGGGGGGCGAGTCTGGACTGCGGTTTGAGGAAGGCTTCATGCCGGAGGGCCTCAAGGACCAGGTGGCATTTGGCAGGCAGAGGGGCAGTTGTCCAGGGTCGGGAGAAGAGCCCTAAGAGGTTCGGAGAGGAGTAGCAGGAGCTCAGAAACTGGGCCCCACACGGGCAAAGGCCTGGGTGGACAGGCCCTGACTGCTCCCCCCTCCCAGGGCGATGTCAGGTCCGGGTGCTGCCCCCAGTGCCCACAGAAGGGCTGACACCAGATGACGTCCCAGCTCTGGCCGACAGAGTCCGGCATTCCATGCTCACCATTTTCCGGGAAATCTCCACTGATGGCAGGGGTGGTGGCGACTATCTGAAGAAGCCTGGAGTCGGCGAGGCCCGGCTCTGAGTCCCCCCACCTTCCCCTCCACACACCTGCCAGCCAGTGGGTTCTGACGCAGGACCAAGCCCTCTTCCTCGTTCCCCCTCTCCCTACTCAGCCTCCTCTTTGGAGTCTTCAGCTTCTGAAGTGAATGTCTGCCCCTTCCCAGCTCCCCCATGGACTCTCTTGCCTCGGTGCAGTCTCCACTCGGACCCTCCCCGCCTCCTGCACCATGAGTCTGTGGGACGGTCGCCTCCCCCTCATCTCCAGTGCTCAGCCTCCACGCGGTGGGAGCACTCCATCCTGTCCCAGGGGACCTCCTTCCTGTGTGGTCTCTCCCTCTCCCCCGACATTGGCCAGTGGACTCATCCATTCTGTGGAACAGTTCCCCCCACCTCCACACCCGTGGATTCAGCGGGCTCATCCGTTTGCCAGGAGGACTCCTCATGCTGTGCCTGGAAGCTGGTGCCTGGAACACCTCCCAGGCTCCTCCTGGGAACACTCCTCAGCAACTCCACCCTCCCTCCCCCGGAGCCTCCGTCAGGGAGGCCGGACTCTTCTCACTCCGAGGTCTCATTCCTGCCGGGCCCAGGTGCCCAGGACTGAGCAACTCCTGGATGCCAGTTTGGTCTTCACATTTCTGCTTCCCCTGTCCCCGTGCGGCCCCACCCACCCCCTCAGCCCTGGGGTACATTCTGAAGAGACGGAAAGTGCACTGCAGGGGCTGCACTCAGGCTCCCTGGCTGGAGGGGATGGAGGGCTTTTAATTTATTTCTCTTTCGTTGGAGGTTTCCCCCTTTGAGCCAGTTTTCATTTCCTCCCTGTGGATTAGCCTCCCATCCTCCCATCCCAGACCTGTGCCTACAACAGGGAGGGGCTGGGAGCAGAGGAGGAGGGTGGGACTCAGTTTTTCATGGTTGGTTTTTATTAATTATCTGGATAACAGCAAGGAACCAAGAATAAAGATTGAGAGATCTGGACACTGGCTGCCTTGGTTAAGTTGAAGAAGCAGTTCCCACCCCAGGGAGTGTGCGGAGACCTGTCCTCCTTAGTGGCAGGTGACTTAGCTGCAGCTCCCCAGCTGGCGAGTCCCAGGGGTTAGCGGGTCCAGCTTCTGTATAACGTCGGGGCAGGGCTCTGCAGAGGTCCTCATGGCCGCCCCTTGGGGCCTGGGCTCAGGCTGTTGTCCTCACAGGAGCCTGGTCAATGGCAGGAGAAGGCAGACCTGGGTCTGTGGCCGCCCCAGCGGAGCGGTGTGAGTCCTGGGGAGACTGGCGCTCCCCCAGCCAGCGAGGCCGCCAGTCGGGGCGTGAAGGGGGCTGTCGGGGAGCTGGGGAGCCTGCGG